CCTCAAACCTAACCCCAAACCTAACCCCTTGGTTTACCCTAACTATAATCCTAATCTTAAACCTAACCTTAACCTGGATTGTAATCTTGATCCTAACCTGAACCCTGACCTTAACCTGAATCCTAACCTTAACCTCACTTTTAATTGGAGCAATCCTAACCCGAACTCTGATCTTAACCTGAACCCTAACCTTAACCTCACCTTTTACTGGAGCAATCCCAACCCTAGCTCTAACCTTAACCCCCATCCTAAACCTAACCTTAACCTTGATCATAACCTTAACCCTAACGCAAGCTTCAAACTTAACTTTAACCCTAAATTTAACCTCTTGGTTTACCCTAACTATAACCCTAACCTTGATTGTAATTCTGATCCTTGCTCGAACCCTAACCTTAACCTTACCTGAAACTGGAGCAATCCCAACCCTAGCTTTAACCTTAACCCTAATCCTAAACCTAATCTCAACCCGGATAATAACTTTAGTTCTAATCCTAACCCCAATCACAATCCTAATCTTAACCCCACCTCAATCCCTGAACCTTGACCCCGATACCAACCTTAATTTGAACTCAAGCCTCAAATCTAACCTTAACCCTAACCCCTTGGGACTTAAAAAGTGGATATCAGGAATCCCACAGGTCTGAAACAAAAGTATGAGAGCCTAATTTTAACCTTGACACTGACAATCTTAATTGGTACTTTAAATTATAACCCTGGCTTCATAAAGATGTATTCTGAGGAGCCTGGGAATTGGAGGGTATGCATTGTTTGGGTAGTGTCTGGGTGTTTATCCTCTTGGAGGAAAAGGTTACTCTTATCTGTTCTTTTTCAGGGATAAACCATAATATCTTTCTTTGGGGTATATTTCCCAATTTCCTGTAGGACTATGATGTATCAATAGGAGAAATAGAATTAGAGAACATGTGCCCGTGTATTTGGTCCTCTTGAAGGGCAATTTTCTCTTAAACCTAACCCTAACCCTAACCCTAACCCTAACCCTAACCCTAACCTTAACCTTAACCTTAACCTTAACCTTAACCCTAACCTTACCCCTAACTTTAACCTTAACCTTACCTCTAACCTTAACCTTAACCCTAACCCTAACCTTAACCTTAACCCTAACCTTAACCTTACCCCTAACCTTACCCCTAACCTTAACCCTAACCTTACCCCTAACCTTAACCCCAACCTTACCCCTAACCTTAATCTTACCTCTAACCTTAACCTTAACCCTAACCCTAACCCTAACCCTAACTCTAACCCTAACCCTAACCTTACCTCTAACCTTAACCCTAACCTTAACCCTAACCTTAACCCCAACCCTAACCCTAACCCTAACCCTAACCCTAACCCTAACCCTAACCCTAACCCTAACCTTAACCCTAACCCTAACCCTAACCCTAACTCTAACCCTAACCCTAACCTTACCTCTAACCTTAACCCTAACCTTAACCCTAACCTTAACCCCAACCCTAACCTCAACCTCAACCTTAACCTCCGTACGGCCCAGTACATCACTGGGGCAAAGCTCCCTGCCATCCAGGACCTCTATACCAGGCGGTGTCAGAGGAAGGCCCTCAAAATTGTCAAAGACTCCAGTCACCCTAGTCATAGACTGTTCTCTCTGCTACCGCACGGCAAGCGGTACCGGAGTGCCAAGTCTAGGTCCAAAAGACTTCTCAACAGCTTCTACCCCCAAGCCATAAGACTCCTGAACAGCTAATCATGGCTACCCGGACTATTTGCACTGCCCCCCCACCCCATCCTTTTTACGCTGCTGCTACTCTGTTAAGTATTTATGCATAGTCACTTTAACTCTACCCACATGTACATATTACCTCAACTAGCCGGTGCCCCCGCACATTGACTATGCAACGGTACCCCCCCTGTATATATAGCCTCCCTACTGTCACTTTATTCTATTGTATATATAGCCTCCCTACTGTCACTTTATTTTTTACTTCTGCTCTTTTTTTCTCAACACTTTTTTGTTGTTGTTTTATTCTTACTTTTTTGTTTAAAATAAATGCACTGTTGGTTAAGGGCTGTAAGTAAGCATTTCACTGTAATGTCTGCACCTGTTGTATTCGGCGCATGTGACCAATAAAATTTGATTTGATTTGATAACTCTCCCGGTAGAACTCTGGACCAGGTACTGACTCCTTATCTGGGGGAACAGCCCACGCCTATCCCTATCCCTTTTCCAATTCTGGGTATGTATCCCTATCCCCCCCATCCTATCCCGGTCCTCCACCCTCAGACCTTTTCCAGACCCCCTGTTTCTTTTCCCCCAACAGACACAGAACCCCAGATTATACCCATTATCAGCACCTTCTCTGACGTAAACAGACTCCTTCACTCTAGACTCAAATTCGCTTTCACCCAAACACAACGCACATTCCCCCCACTTCAGGAATTCAGACCCATGTCAGCTTTCCGCAGAAACCCAAACTTAAGGGATCTCTTAATTTTTGCAAAGTTTTCCAATAAACCTACTCCTAAACTACCCGTTGAACAACAGTATCATAGACAACTTTCACACATTCAAAATCCACATGCACAAACCTCCAGTCCAGTCCTATTTCACAACTCATTTTTGTGTATGGGTGGTCCTCTGTAGCTCAGCTGGTAGAGCACGGCGCTTGTAACGCCAGGGTAGTGGGTTCGATCCCCGGGACCACCCATACACAAAAATTTATGGACGCATGACTGTAAGTCGCTTTGGATAAAAGCGTCTGCTAAATGGCATGTTATTATGACCATTCATAGTACCAATATTGTCAATGCCATAACATGCACACTATGCCACAACATTTATATAGGAGAAACCGGTCACACAGTCCTGACACGCCTCAAACAGCACCTCTACACAATTAGAAAAAACATATTACAAACACACCTGGTCCAACATTTTCAGATCCACCCAACAACTTCCCTCCATATTACCGGTCTGGAGATTAAATCCACCTGGACCAGAGGCCAGAGAAAAGCGGCCGAATCCAGGTGGATTTCAAAACTTAATACTTTGGCTCCACTGGGGATGAATATCCAGGAATAAATAAAAAACATTAACACTTTTGAATTGTTGTGGGTGACCCCTCGGAGCTCTGGGTCTCTCATGTCCTCCCACGTTCTCGAGACCGGGCAAAGGTGCAATAGGCCCGTGTAACCTAAAGGTTTGAAACCAGTACAAACATAAACCCTCTTAAACCTAACCCTAACCCTAACCCTAACCCTAACCCTAACCCTAACCCTAACCTAGCCCCCTCCAAAGCACATCGATGGACATCTACGGCCTCCCTGGAGTCCAACAATACCAACCGCAGCTCCCCACGACATTACCTTCTCCACATACAGAATTGGACAGGGGTGTCCAATTGAGTTTTTATCCCTGTACCTAACCCTAACCCTAACCCTTAACCCTAACCCTAACCCTAACCCTAACCCTAACCCCTAAACCCTAACCCTAACCCTAACCCCCTGGTCTCCGTGCAGCATCCGATAGGCTCCGGATCGACCCTGTGGATTCCTCAACCTATACCTAACCCTAATCCTAACCCTAATCTTGACCTAACCCTAACCTCAACCTAACCCTTACCCTAAACCTAATCCTAACCTTAACCTAACCCTAGCCCTTACCTTAACCTTACCCTAACCTCCAACTAACCCCTACCCCCACCCCTACCTTGACCCGACCTCTACAATCAGAGGAACTAATCCAGACACATCTACTTAACCACCGCACCCCATAACCAACATGATCAAAGTGGGCAATGAAGGGTCAACAATGGCAGTGACTGGATCACTAGCTACTACGCATACAATTCCTTACTCTCTACTCCTGGGCTGGTTGTTCCCGGACCCCTCAACGCTCCTGCCCGGCATGCGGAGTGCCCTACCCCCTGGTCTCTGTGCAGCATTCTATAGGCTCCGGATCGACCCTGTGCATTCCTCAACCTAACCCTAACTCTAACTCTAACTCTAACCCTGACCTTAACCTTAACCTTAACCTTAACCTTAACCCTACCCTACCCTACCCCAACCCGACCCTATCCCTACCTAACCCCAAAATTAACATAACCCTAACCTTACCTAACCCTAATTTAACTTTAACCTCGACCCCAACCCAACTCTAACCCTTACCATAGCGGATCTATCGACTGAGCAACTTGGTGCGGATGCCTGGCAACCGACAAGGGGTGACGATCCTGGAAGGGAGTGGCCCTCTTCGTTTTTGTCTGCTTAAACACTCAAGACTCAATGACAGACCTACTCGGTGCGGCTGCATGGCAACCGACTGGGGCTGACGATCCTGGAAGGGAGTGGCCCTGTATGGTTTTTGCTTGCTCAAACACTGTGAACTTAAGGACAGACCAATCCGGTGCAGATGCATGGCAACCGACTGGGAGCGACGATCCTGGAAGGGAGTGGCCCCCTATTGTTTTTGCCTGCTCAAACACTGGTGACTAAATTACAGAATAGAACCTAACCAACGGACGACACCTACACTCCAACGGGAATCTACACCTTCACTCTACCATCGCACCCTATAAACAACTGGATGAGGACGGGCACTGGGGGATGGCAGAACGAGCATAACACGGGTTGGACCACCTTGGCTGCAACCAAAAATCACCTATCCCTAAAGTCCTGGGCTTGTTGTGCCTGGACCCCCGGGGGCCCCTGCCCAGCAAGCGGAGTGCCCATCCCCTTGGTCTCCGCACAGCTGGAAGGCGTCGGGTCGACATTGGGGATCATTACAATAGAACCTAACCCTAACCCCCTAAACCTAAACCTACACCTAACCCTCTCTCACTCCTCATGCAATCACCCAGTCTCCCCTAGCCTCTCTGTCTCCTCATACAATCACCCAGTCTCCCCTAGCCTCTCTCTCTCATCAAATCACCCAGTCTTCACAAACTCGCTCTTTCTATTCTCAGCCTCCACCCAGCCTGTCTTTCTCCTCATCTTCATCCCCATCCCTGTCATCATCATCATCATCAGTTCATCTCCCAGATTGCATGCCCTTCTCCCTTCATCCTCCCTCCTCCCTCCTTCCCCTGTCTCCTCATCTCCTCATCTCCATCACTGTCTGGCAGGAGAATGGTCACCCTGAGAAGAGGCATGGACAGAGATGGAGAAGGGAGAATAGGGGGAGGAATAGGCAGAGACAGAGGGAGAGGAATAGGGAGAGAGAGAGAGGGAGAAGGGAGTAGAGGGGGAGAAATAGGCAGAGAGAGGGAGAAGAGGGGGGGGAATAGGGAGAGAGAGAGGGAGAGGAGGGGGAGGAATAGGCAGAGAGAGAGAGAGGGAGAAGAGGGGGAGGAATAGGGAGAGAGAGAGAGGGAGAAGAGGGGGAGGAATAGGCAGAGAGGGGGGAGGAATAGGGAGAGAGAGAGAGAGGGAGAAGAGGGGGAGGAATAGGGAGAGAGAGAGAGAGAGAGAGGGAGAAGAGGGGGAGGAATAGGAGACGAGAGGGAGAGAAGAGGGGAGGAAAGGGAGAGAGGAGAGGGGGGGAATAGGCAGAGAGGAGAGAGAAAGAGGGGGAGGAAAAGGGGAGAGAGAGGAGAGGGAGAAGAGGGGAGGAAGAGGAGAGGGGAGGGAGAAGGAAGGAGAGAGAGAGGGGGAGAAAGGAGAGAGAGAGAGGGAGGAATAGGCAGAGAGGAGAGGGGGGAGGAATAGGCAGAAGAGAGAGGAGAAGAGGGGAGGAATAGGCAGGAGAGAGAGGAGGAAAGGGGGAGAGGAATAGGAGGAGAGCGAGAGGGGAGGAAGGAGAGAGGAGAGGGAGAAGAGGGGGAGGAATAGGGCAGAGAGAGAGGAGAGGGAAAAAGAGGGGGAGGAATAGGCAGAGAAGAGGGGGAGGAATAGGGAGAGAGAGAGGGGGAGAAGAGGGGGAGGAATAGGCAGAGAGAGAGAGAGGGGAGGAATAGGGAGAGAGAGAGAGGGAGAAGAGGGGGAGGAATAGGCAGAGAGAGAGGGAGGAGGGAGAAGAGGGGAGGAGGCGAGGGAAGGGGAGGAATAGAGAGAGAGAGAGGGGGAGGAATAGGGAGAGAGGGGAGAGGGGGAGGAATAGGCAGAGAGAGAGAGAGAGAGGAGAGAGGGGGGGAATAGGAGAGGAGAGGAGAGAGGGGAGAGAAGAGGGGGAGGGGAATAGGCAGAGAGAGAGAGAGGGGAAGAGGGGAGGGAAAAGGGGAGGAAGGGGAAACGGAATGAGGAGAAAAGGGAGGAGGGGGAGGAAGAGGGCAGAGGGAGAGAGAGGGGAGGGAAAGGCAGAGAGAGAGAGGGAGAGAGGGGGAGGAATAGGCAGAGAGAGAGAGGAGGGAGAAGAGGGGGGGAATAGCAGAGAGAGAGGGGGAATAGGAGAGAGAGAGAGAGGGAGAGACGGAGGGCGGATAGAGAGAGAGAGAGAGGGAGAAGGGGGAGGAAGGAATAGGCAGAGAGAGAGAGAGAGGGAGAAGAGGGGGAGGAATAGGCAGAGAAAGAGGGGAGGGAATAGGGGAGAAGAGAGAGGAGGGAGAGAGAGGGGCGGAATAGGCAGAGAGAGAGGGGGAGGCATAGGAGAGAGAGAGAGGGAGAGAAGAGGGGAGGAAGGATGGCAGAGAGAGAGAGGGGGAAGGGGGATGGGAGAGAGAGGGGGGGAATAGGCAGAGAAGAGGGGGAGGAATAGGGAGAGAGAGAGAGGGAGAAGAGGGGGGCGGAATAGGCAGAGAGAGAGAGGGGGAGGAATAGGAGGAGAGAGGAGAGAGGGGGGGAGGAATAGGCAGAGAGGAGGGGAGAGAAGGGGAGAGAGAGAAGGGAGAAGGGGGGGGAGGAATAGCAGAGAGAGAGAGAGGGAGAAGAGGGGGAGGAATAGGGAGAGAAGAGGGGAGGAATAGGGAGAAGAGGAGGGGAGAGAGGGGGAGGAATAGGCAGAGAGAGAGAGAGGGAGAGAGAGGGAGGAGAAAGGAAGGAGAGGAAGAGGGGGAGGAATAGGCAGAGAGAGAGGGGGAGGAATAGGGAGAGAGAGAGAGGGAGAAGAGGGGTAGGAATAGGCAGAGAAAGAGGGGGAGGAATAGGGAGAGAGAGAGAGGGGGAGAATAGGGAGAGAGAGAGGGGGAGGGGGGGAGGAATAGGCGAGAGGAGAGAGGAGAGAAGAGGGGAGGAATAGGCGAGAGAGAGAGAGAGGGAGAAAGAGGGGAGGAATAGGCAGAGAAGAGGGGGAGGAATAGGGAGAGAGAGAGAGAGGGAGAAGAGGGGGAGGAATAGGCAGAGAGAGAGAGAGAGGAAGGAAGAGGGGGGGGGAAAAAGGGCGAGAGAGAGGGGGGAGGAGGGGGCGGGATGAGGCAGCAGAGCGAGAGAGGGAGAAGAGGGGAGGAATAGGGAGAGAGAGAGGGGAGGGAGGAATGGGCAGAGAGAGAAGGGGAGGAATAGGGAGGAGAAGGGAGAGGAGAGAGGGGGAGGGAATAGGCAGAGAGAAGAGGGGGAGGAAGTAGGGAGAGAGAGAGAGGAGCGGGAAGGGAGAGGAGAGAGCGAGGAGGGGGAGGAATAGGAGAGAGAGAGAGAGAGGGGAGAGAGGAGAGAGGGGGGAGGAATAGGATAGAGAGAAGAGGGAGAAGAGGGGGAGGAATAGGCAGAGAGAGAGAGAGGGGGAGGAATAGGCAGAGAGAGAGAGGGGGAGGAATAGGCAGAGAGAGAGAGAGGGAGAAGAGGGGGAGGAATAGGGAGAGAGAGAGAGAGGGAGAAGAGGGGGAGGAATAGGGAGAGAGAGAGAGGGGGGAAGCCGTCACAGTAGAGTAGAGTGGAGTCTCCCTGCGTAAGCAACACTACACTACGCCTCCCTCCCTGTACATATTCACATTGACTGGAAACCCTTTCAGAAGCTACACTACGCCTCCCTCCCTGTACATATTCACATTGACTGGAAACCCTTTCAGAAGCTACACTACGCCTCCCTCCCTGTACATATTCACATTGACTGGAAACCCTTTAAGAAGCTACACTACGCCTCCCTCCCTGTAACCCTTCAGAGGCTGCAGTACACAGAGCTGCGTCACATAGCTGTGATGAGGGAGAGGGGGAGGGGGAGGGAGAGGGGGAGGGGGACAGCCAACCAGCATACATACTACAGAGAGGAGGAGGGGGGGGAGAGAGGGGGCGAGGGGGAGAGGGAGAGAGAGAGCCAACCAGCATACATACTACAGAGAGGAGGGGGGGGGGGGGGGGGGGGGGGGGCGAGGGGGAGAGGGAGAGAGAGAGAGAGAGAGCCAACCAGCATACATACTACAGAGGGGGGGGGGGGGGGGGGGGGGAGAGGGAGAGAGAGAGAGAGAGAGAGAGAGAGGGGGGAGGGGGACAGCCAACCAGCATACATACTACAGAGAAGAGGAGGAGAGATAGAGGGAGAGAGACGTGGAGGAGAGAGTGAGAGAGAGAGAGGTGGAGAAGAGGCAGAGCATCAGAGAGAGAAAGAAAGAGGTGGAGGAGAGAGAGAGGTGGAGAAGAGAGAGAGGCAGAGGAGGAGAGAGCAGAGCTACACAGAGAGAGAGAGAGAGAGAGGAGAGAGAGAGAGAGAGGAGAGGAGAGAGAGAGAGAAGAGAGGCAGAGGAGGAGAGAGCAGAGCTACACACAGAGAGAGAGAGAGAGGGGGGCAGAAAGAGGACAGAGTGAAATCATCTATTGCAGGCATTTAGGTTTCTGTCGCCGATGGAGATAGGCAGAGTAAGGTAGGATACCACCACTACCTTATCGAGGGACCGCATCACCACACACACATACACACACCGCACACACAGAAACACACCACGCACACTCCATAGGAGAAGCTGGTGAAGCTCGGAGGGGAAAACACGCTTCGCTTCTCTGTGGTTTGGAACGCTAGAAGACTAACACACCGTATAGGAGCCTCAGCCAGCCCTTGTCTCCAGGATCCTCTAGCAGCAATAACGCTCACAAACAGCTCTCCACTCCAATAATACAGCTATCTCCATCAGACCAACTCTCCACTCCACAGCTCTCCACTCCACTAGCACAGCTCTCTCCATCCGACCAGCTCTCTTACAACTCTCTCTCAGCTCTCTCCCAACCGCTACCATGAACTTCCTGCGTCGCCGGCTATCTGACAGCAGCTTTATAGCTAATCTTCCTAACGGCTACATGACAGACCTCCAGAGATCTGACCCTCCACCGCCTCCCCCCTCTACAGCCACCCCAGGAGTCCCAGCCACATCCTCAGGACAAGCTCCAGCCCCAGCCCCCAACGCCTCCCCAGCTCCAGAGTGTCGGCCCCAGGCTGCCCCGGCCCCCTCCTCAGGCTCTGGGTTCTTCAGCTCCCTGACCTCCCTGAGTTCCATCACCAATGTGGTGAAACAGACAGCAGCTTCAGCTGGCTTGGTGGATCAGAACCCAGCACCCGGGCCTGGTCCTGTCTCCATGAGATTTAAGATCCTGCTGATTATCGACGAGCCGCAGCATGAGTGGTGAGTGGACACCTGGACGGCATGCCTCAACCAATCAGCTTATCCTATTAGCTATACGAGGACAGTCAGGGTGGATTCCAATAGGGCAGCAGGAACCTGCACAGGGCTTAGGGATAACCGTATGGATCAGAATACACCCTCAGATTAATGTTGGAGTTGGGTTTGTTGTCATAACTGTCTTAATGTAAGTTGCTCTGAATAAGAGTGTCTGCTAAATGTCTCAAATGTAAATGTGATGTCAGCTCTCGTTGGTGAGCTGCAGGATCAGGTTGGATTGGTTTAGTGTTAGGGTTAGGGTTAGGGTTAGGTTGGACAGTAAAATGTGACTGCACAAGTTTCATCTGAGGTGTGTGAGCACTGAGCATTTACAATGATATTCTATTACATGTATACATCCTATTTCCTTTTCCCTTTCCCATGTTGAAATCAGTGTTTGAAGTGTGTTAGTCAGATGGCTATATTATCTCAACACACAGATACCATTCTATTCCCAGGGGATCAACAGCATCCTGCTAGCTCTGGATTCAGAGGGATGTTATGTTATAAAGTTGATAGAGAGATGTTATGTTATGAAGAGGACAGAGAGATGTTATGTTATAAAGAGGATAGAGAGATGTTATGTTATGAAGAGGATAGAGAGATGTTATGTTATAAAGAGGACAGAGAGATGTTATGTTATAAAGAGGAGAGAGAGATGTTATGTTATGAAGAGGATGGAGAGATGTTATGTTATGAAGAGGAGAGAGAGATGTTATGTTATAAAGAGGACAGAGAGATGTTATGTTATGAAGAGGAGAGAGAGATGTTATGTTATGTTATAAAGAGGATAGAGAGATGTTATGTTATGAAGAGGATGGAGAGATGTTGTGTTTTGTTATAAAGAGAATAGAGATGCTATGTTATATTGCTGTGGCTTCCAGCATCAGACACAGCCTAGTGATGGGCCTGCAAAGGGTGGTGGTCTGGATTCTCACCTGCACATGCCTAACCAGCCCTCTGGAGTCTGGGATGGTTTGTGTGACTTGCCCCATGATCCCTGAATTACGTGGGGCCGAGTCATTCACGATGGGGACACAGTTTCTTATTTTTCTTGTCAATTTTTGTCGCTTCTGCAATTCAGGATGATACTCTTTGGTCCATTCTTCTTTTGTTCTGATTGACCAACCACAGCTCATACTTGACTGGAGGCTTCCAGGATATCAGGGAGACTCCTTTTTTGCACAAACTGACCCTTGACAGGGTGCCATAAAATCTGTGAGGACATTGGAAGTACTTCACCATTTTCTGAGTGGCTTCCACACTCTCCAACTGGATATAACACCTTCAGTTAGGTCAGAATCCTTTAGGTTAGAATCCTCCAAGGTATCGTCTGCCAACAATTCTGAGCTTTTGGGATCCCCCTTATATTTAGAATCAGCCACCAGAGAGGCACTGTTGGAAGGAGCAGAGTCTTTAGCATTAACACCAGCTCCAACCTCATCTAACAAGCTTTGTTCATCTTCCACCTGGACACCCTCTTTGTCTAGATCTTTGTTTTCCAAATCAATGTCATTCCCCTTTCTCTCATTCTTGACCACCTTCTTGTTCAACCACCTTCTTGTTCCACCACTTTCTCAGCAGGTTGTTTGCCTGTACTGGGTCTCTTTTTGTTTGTGGAGTTTGAGGTCTTGCTGGTCTCCTCGCTCTTGTGTCTGCTGCTGTGGCTTTTACTGGAATATGCTCTTCTGTATGTGGTGGAGTCAGGACTTTCTCTCAGGTAAGCTGACTTTGACATTCTTTCCATTGATCTTGAGGGGATTGGAGTGGTAGTACTTCACCATAATGTCAACATCTTTCCAATCTACCATCTCAATCAGGGTCTGATCACTTGAAAATGTTGAATGTCACACATCCACAAACATTTCCCAGGAGGAAAAACAAAGCACTGTATTTGTCACGACTTCCACCGAGGCTGACTCCCCTCCTTGTTCGGGCAGGTTTCGGTGTTCGGCGTCACCGGCTTACTAGCTACTGCCGATCCATTTATCATCACTCCATTTGTCTTGTCTTCAATCACACTCACCTGGTCCTTATTCCCTCATTAGTCATTGTATAAGTGTTCCCTCTGCTTCCTTGTCTGTGTGGGTGATTGTTTACTGTGGAGGTTAGTGAAGCTCAGTGGAGCTCGTGTATTTTGTATCGACGGGAGTATTTTCCTGTGTCCCTTGTAATTTCCAGTGCGCCTGTTTTGTGCCCTGGAGTGTGTTTGACGCATTTCTGCGTAAACCTGTATTTTGCGGTTTAAAGCCTGTTATTCTGTGATTTACCCTCCTGCGCCTGACTCCTTCAACACCACCTCATCACAGTATTGGTAAATTGTTCGATGGGCCGTTTTTCTGGTGGTTCATCCGACCTTGGCATATACAGTAAATACTGCACACTACAGGTGACAGGTACAGAGTCAAACTATTTCACATCACAAAAGCTTTGCTTTTACTGAAGTGATCCACCATATTGACTGCCTCTTTGTGCGAACCAAACTCTAGAAAGCCCTTGCAGGGGAATACCAGATGTATTACAACTGTGCCGAATGGCTTAGCCAAAGTCATCAAGTCTTCAACACCAACAGAGCCAAGGGGAAATTTAGTGACCACCACCTTTGTGCCAGCCTTGGGCTTCAAATGGTGTCTTTCTGGTGCAAACCAGACTTCTCCTCCTACGCGGTCTGAGCTATGTTGTCTCTTGTAAGGCAGGACGTGGCACTCCTCTGCGCTGGGAATTAGCATCTCTACTTGGGATGGAAATTGACTTTTTCCTCATCCGGATATCTTGTTTTTCCGAATCTGGATATAAACGCAAGAGTTCTCGACAGCCCTCTTCATAGCGTAATCCATTGAGATGATCCTTCCATTGCTTAGTAGAATTCAACATGCAGAAGCATAGAGAGCATGAGCGTGGGTAAATATTGGGCACAACTCCATGAACTTCATTCCTACGGGGAGTATGAAAAAATTATGTATGCACTCACTAACTGTAAGTCGCTCTGGATAAGAGCGTCTGCTAAATGACTAAAATGTAAATGTTTAATGTAATGAAAATCATTCACTTGATGGGAAGAACGTTGGCTGTCGGATGTTTTTTCCCTCGAGGGCCTAGTGTGGTGTGGAATCTCTCCTTGCCTCGGCCCGCTCTGGTTGCACCTCCACTCTCCAATAGTCAGTGTCACCATGGCTGCTTGACCGGTGACGGACTGCAGGGGGACTGTCCCGTCTGCTGCTGCCATTCTGTGAGTCTCTTGGCACCTTCACTGCAAAGCCTTTGTCCAGGATATCTGCCAAGAACTTGGTGTAGTCCTTACAGAACTGAGGATTCTTGCCGAGTTTCCTTTTCAGGTTGAGAGCACGCTGTACTGCCACACAGCGGTTGTTAGGAAATTCAGCATTCTAATTCCTCAGTGGTAGGCATATACTATAGTGGCCACCCACAAGCTTGGCTGACTGTGAGACACGCTCTATGAAGAGATGATCTTCTCTTAATATTTCAAGCTGCTCCTCATGGTGGCGCTCTGGGAAGTCATGCATGATCTGTTGCTGAAGCAGTTGAAGCAGAGATTCTATGTGCCATTACGTGAGACTGCCAATAGGTGGAGACATTGCCCAGACAACTGAAGCAGACTTCCTTGGTCTTCAAAAAGTCCAACTTCTCTTGGTGTGGATTCTTGTTCACTTCTGTGCATGTGCCTTGACTGAGTTCTCTTTGACAGAATGGACACTGCCAGAGTGCCGCACCAGAGGGATTGCCAACCCAGCTCTTCACTGTTTTCACAACTAATGTGACGCTGGTGGCAAAACCCAAACCCATTTTCCTCTATTTGAGAACACTCGGCCTACTCACAAGTTGTGAACCTTCCCTCACTGCTGAGGTGGGGGTTTCCCTCAGGTTTCCAAACACAGGATGTGATGCAATCCTGGCTTGGCGATCAACAAAGGTAACCAGATCAGCACAACTGGCTCTTCTTCCTTTTTTCTCTTGTAGGTCATAAGCCAACCCACTCCATTTTTCTTTCAACTTATACGACAGCTTTGATACTATAGCGCTCATACTTGTTGGGCTGTCCATTTCCTCCATATAAAGTGACTCGTTTCAGGAAACTAGGCGTTTGTTGCGCATCACTACTTCACAGGAGAGGCATTTGAACGTAAACATTTATTTTGATCAAAATGGGTTTTAGGCAGAAACGCCTTCTGGAATATGTGAACTTTCATATGTCTTTATAACAAACTTGTATGCCATCTGTAAATAAAAAATATGAAAAAGTGAAATTACGAGCCTAGTTGGTTTAGCCACGGAAAAAGACAGGAACCTTCCCACTGGCCAAGATTGGCTGAGATAATGGATGGGCTGGACATGCTGAGAGATGAGTACGGATTGGTCTGCCATGTAGCACGTTTCTGTTTATAACATGAGATGCTCAGTATGTGTAGGTAATCCTTTCTAATGCGTGTTTTTTGAAAAATATAATGAAGAACTGCAAAAGTGTTGCTAATGCTCTCCACTTTCTGGAGGACCGAGTTTTGAAATCAATGGAATGCCCAGTGGAAGCAGAGTATGATAACCAAGGAGATGGACAAAATTCTACCGTTTGATTGCAAATATGCGGAGGGAGTCAAAGAGAACACACAGAAGGCTGTAGTATAAAACACCTGCCTCCAGAATACATTTTCAAACTAAGGGTAACCATGGCATCCGTGGCAGAGAGGGAGAAGCATTCATCCATGTATATGGGTAAGAGAGTCTAGCTAACTACATCTTCAGATATTATAAGTTTCTAATTTTGTCAGAAAGTCATTTTCATTGCAAGTTAAAGCGTACTATTAGCTAGCTAGCTAACGTTAGCTGGCTGGCTCGCTAGCTAAAGTTATGTTTATGATCTGTGTAGTAATATTATTTGTATCTCAGAGCCATTTGAATTGCTAGTTATAGCCTAATGTTAGCTAGCTAGCTAACATTGAACCTAGCTAGTTGGTTAGATTTAGCTACCTGTAGATTCATGCAGGGTAGTAACATTATCAGTTTGCATTATGGTTCATTGTTTAGCTAGCTAGCTAGCCACGTCTAAACAAAAGACTCCACTATGCAAATAACCATTTCACTGTACAGTTTATACCTTCTGTATCCTGTGCATTATTTGATATAGTGTGTTTACCAGAGACGGTAATGTGAAGAACAACATGACCTGCACCAAAGTCAAATTAGGATATAACGTTAGGCCAACGAGACAGTGTCCATGTTCTAAGATTTTCCAGTAGAATGCCATGCTTTTACTTCTTCACACTCACAACTGTAAGCTATCTTCTGTGTTTGTATTTATTAGGGGTCCCCATTAACTGCTGCCAAGGCAGAAGCTACTCTTCCTGGGGTCCAAACACATTAAGGCACTTACATCACACATAAAACCTCTTTAAGGAATACCTGGAATAGTATAAAGTAATCCTTCTAGAGTGTGTCTGTACCTGTGTGTGTGTCTCTTCACAGTCCCCGCTGTTCCATAAGGTGTATTTCTATCTGTTTTGTCAATCTGATTCTACTGCTTGCATCAGTTACCTGATGTGGAATAGAGTTCCATGTAGTCATGGCTCTATGTAGTACTGTGCGCCTCCCATAGTCTGTTCTGGACTTGGGGACTGTGAAGAGACCTCTGGTGGCATGTCTTGTGGGTGATGCATGGGTGTCCGAGCTGTGTGCTTGTAGTTTAAACAGACAGCTCGGTGCATTCAGCTTGTCAACACTTCTTACAAAAACAAGTAGTGTTTAAGTAAATCGCTCCTCCACTTTGAGCCATGAGAGATTGACATGCATATCATTAACGTTAGCTCCCCATGTACATTTAAGGGCCAGCCGTGCTGCCCTGTTCTGAGCCAATTGTAATTTTCCTAAGTCCCTCTTTGTGGCACCTGACCACGTGACTGAACAGTAGTCCAGGTGCGACAAAACTAGGGCCTGAAGGACCTGCCTTGTTGATAGTGTTGTTAAGAAGGCAGAGCAGCGCTTTTATTATAGACAGACCTCTCCTCATAATAGCTATTGTTGAATCAACATGTTTTGACCATGACAGTTTACAATCCAGGGTTACTCCAAGCAGCTTAGTCACCTCAACTTGCTCAATTTCCACATTATTCATTACAATATTTAGTTGAGTTTAGAGTTTAGTGAATGATTTGTCCCAAATACAATGCTTAGATCTTTAGAAATATTTAGGACTAATTTATTCCTTGCCACCCACTCTGGAACTAACTGCAGCTCTTTGTTAAGTGTTGCAGTCATTTCAGTCACTGTGGTAGCTGACATGTATAGTGTTGAGTCATCCGCATACATAGACACACTTTACTCAAAGCCAGTGGCATGTCGTTAGTAAAGATTGAGAAAAGTAAGGGGCCTAGACAGCTGCCCTGGGAAATGCCTGATTCTACCTGGATTATGTTGGAGAGGCTTCCATTAAATAACACCCTCTGTGTTCTGTTAGACAGGTAACTCTTTATCCACAATATAGCATGGGGTGTAAAGCCATAACACATACGTTTTTCCAGCAACAGACTATGATTGATCATGTCAAAAGCCGCACTGAAGTCTAACAAAACAGCCCTCACAATCTTTTGAACATCAATTTCTCTCAGCCAATCATCAGTCATTTGTGTAAGTGCTGTGCATGTTGAATGTCCTTCCCTATAAGCGTTCTGAAAGTCTGTTGACAATTTGTTTACTGTAAAATAGCATTTTATCTGGTCAAACACAATTTTTTCAGAAAGTTCACTAAGGGTTGGTAACAGGCTGATTGGTTGGATATTTGAGCCAGTTAAGGGGGCTTTACTATTCTTAGGTATGGGATTAATTGTTGCTTCCCTTCAGGCCTGAGGGCACAGACTTTCTACTAGGCTTAAACTGAAGATATGGCAAATAGTAGTGGCAATATCATCTGCTATTATCCTCAGTAATTTTCCATCCAAGTTGTCAGACCCCGGTGGCTTGTTATTGTTGATCGACAATAATACTTTTTTCACCTCTTCCACACTTACTTTACGGATTTCAAAATTACAATGCTTGAGTTTCATAATTTGGTCAGATATACTTGGATGTGTTGTGTCAAAGTCAATACTTTATAGAGCCACATTTTGCAGCAATTACAGCTGCAAGTCTCTTGGGGTATGTCTCTATAAGCTTGGCACATCTAGCCACTGGGATTTTTGCCCATTCTTCAAGGCAAAACTGCTCCAGCTCCTTCAAGTTGGATGGGTTCCGCTGGTGTACAGCAATCTTTAAGTCATACCACATATTCTCAATTAGATTTAGCTCTGGGCTTTGACTAGGCCTTGCCAATACATTTAAATGTTTCCCCTTAAACCACTCAAGGGTTGCTTTAGCAGTATGCTTAGGGTCATTGTCCTGCTGGAAGGTGAACCTCCGTCCCAGTCTCAAATCTCTGGAAGACTGAAACAGGTTTCCCTCAAGAATTTCCTTGTATTTAGTGCCATCCATCATTCCTTCAATTCTGACCAGTTTCCCAGTCCCTGCTGATGAAAAACATCCCCACAGCATGATGCTGCCACCAGCATGCTTCACTGTAGGGATGTTGTTCTCGGGGTGATGAGAGGTGTTGGGTTTGGGCCAGACATAGTGTTTTCCTTGATGGCCAAAAAGCTCAATTTTAGTCTCCTCTGACCAGAGTTCCTTCTTCCATATGTTTGGGGAGTCTCCCACATGCCTTTTGGTGAACACCAAATGTGTTGCT